ATTGTTTATCTACTTTATATATAGTAGTATGTACAAATCCCAAGATCTTAATTTATCCCTCCCCCAATCATAAATTTGTTTCCTATGTCTGTGGGTCTATTTCTATTTTGTAAATGTTCATTTTTGTCCTTTTTTTTAAGATTCCACATTAAAGTGTTACATGGTATTTTTCTTTCTCTGGCTTACTTTACATGGTATGATAATCTCCAGGTCCATCCATGTTGCTGCAAATGGCATTATTTTATTCTTTTTCATGGCTGAGTAGAATTCGTGTGTGTGTGTGTGTGTGTGTATGTGTCACAACTTCCTTCTCCATTCGTCTCTCGGATGTTTAATTTCCATCCATATCTTGGCTATTATAAATAGTGCTGCTGTGAACATTGGGGTGCATCTATCTTTTAGTGAAGTATAATCAGTTTCAATGCATGTATCTTTTCAAATTAGAGTTCCCTCCAGATATATGCTCAGGAATGGGATTGCTAGATCATAGGGTAAGTCTGTTTTCAGTTTTTTAAGGAATCTCCATACGGTTTTCTATAATGGCTGCACCAACCCAGCAATTCTAATTCCAATAGTTTATTTGGTAAAAAGGTTTTCTTAATATTAACCACAGTGGCTTTTGTAATTTAAAAAAAAAGGAAAAACCTAAATGTACAATGATAAATGAATACATTGGTAAATTTATGGGATATCCACTCAACGTAATAGTATATATACGATTAAGAAGAATATACTACAATTGTCAGCATAAATGAGGAAAGATAAGTATTCTTCAGAGGACAAAAATATCTGCAGTATTGATACTATGATCCTTTTTGTGGGAAAAATCCATAAACGTTTGTCTTTTTGAAAATTGTGACTGGTTGAATAAAATATTTAGCTCAGATTATTTTACAATTTGGCTTATGAGTAGAGAAGGTCAGAAGTTTTGGCATTCCCAAGTTTTGCAATTCTCCGCTGTTAATATACCTTTGTATAATAATTATGTATTACTTTAGTATTACAAAATCATGTCAGTTTTAGAAAAGTTTTAGAATACTGAATGATGTAACGTTCATGCTATAGTAACTATAAAGAGACAGTCTCATTTTTCTTTCATAAAAAAATACTTACCTATATTTAAAATTTGGAGAATATACTGTTAACAGTGTTTTGACTCTTAGGTACAATATGGATGATTTAAAATTTCTTCATTTGTATATATGTTTTCTAATTTCTATATATTAAGAATTTATTGTGTTCATAATTTATTAATATTACATTCCCTTCAGGGATTAAATTTCAGCCCTATTCACCTGGGATGTCAAGCTCTGAAAGGTGAGTTAAATATACGGTCCAGAGAGCGCAGCGCAGCCTGGGCAGCCCATTTGGGGACCCTGACCGATCAGTTTCAGGAATGAGCTGCTGCAACTTTGACATGGCTACACGCATAGGCTTGCAGAAGGACAGACAGAAAGGGTCTGAGGGCCTGGTTAGTGGGGCACTCGTATCTGATTCTTTGCTGTAGAATGCCCAGAATCCATCCTGTTACAGTGTAGGGGTAGGAACACTAATCCAGGATTTAGGGTAAAGATGTTCAAATTTAAATGTAGATCAGAAAGCTCATTTTACATTTTAGTCCACTGACAGATGACTGGATAAAGAAGATGTGGTATACATACACAGTGGAATATTACTCAGCCATAAAAAAGGTGAAATAATGCCATTGGCAGCAACATGGATGGACCTAGAGATTATCATACTAAGTGAAGTAAGCCAGAAAGAGAAAGAAAAATACCATATGATATCATTTTTATGTGGAATCTAGAAGAATGATACAATTGAATTTATTTACAAAACAGACATAGAAAACAAACTTATAGTTACCAAATGGGAAGGGGGGAGGGGTAAATTAGGAGTTCTGACAAGAAGGAAATTAACAGAAGGAAACATCAGGAATGAAGAAAAAGGAATGGAAAGGGTAAATATATCAATTATAAAGACCAGGCTCCTTTGGATGGTTGAAAGCAACATAACAACCTTACCTGCTACAGTTCTCAGTGTAACACAGAGGTGTTGGACATCATTCGCTACCAGGCAACTGTAAGTTAAGGCCGTCATTATATACCACCACACACCTGATAGGACAGCTGGAATCAAATATGACACTGCCAAGTCCCAGAAAGGACACGGAACAGCTGGAGCATTCATACACTGCTGGTGGGAATGTAAATTAGTACAGCCACTCTGGAAAAGTTTGCCAGTTTCTTAAAAAGTTAAACACAAACACAACATATGACTCCTGAGTATTTATCCCCAAAAAACAAAGACCTATGTTCACATAAAACTGGGTACTCAAATGTTTGAAGGTTTTTATTCATAAGAGTGAAACACCAGAAACAACCCAGACATCCATCAACAGTGAAGAGAGAAAACATGGTACATCCATAGATTAGAACTATTTAGTAACAAAAAGTAAAACTATTTATACACCCAACAAATTGGATGGATCTTCAGAGCAATGTGCTAAGTGAAACAAAGCTGATCAGAGGTTACATACTGTATGATTCCATATTCATAGCATTCTTGAAATAACAAAATTAGATGGGTGGAGTACTGATCCGTGGTCACCATGGGTCAGGAACAGTGTAACTAGAAAGGGTGGATGTTTCTTTGTGTTGGCACAATTCTGCATCTTGATCGTGGTGGGATTTACAGAAATTTGCCTATGAGATAAAACTTCTTAGAAACATATACCAAAAAACAAAACAAAACAAACCTCACACAAATTAGTGCATGCAAAAACTGGGAAATCCAATTAAGGCCTATAGCTTACTTAACAGCTTTGTACCAACGTCATTTTATTGGTTTTGATGATGTATTATGGTTATGTGAGATAATACCACTGAAGAAGCCAAGTAAAGGTATTTAGGAACTTGGTATATTTTGTAATTTCTGCCGAGTCTAAAACTACTTGAAAACAAATTTTAGGAAAGTCGTATTTAAAGTGTTTTTGTAAACTACTTAATGCTACTTATAAACTTGGATAAATATATCCAAATATGTTGCCTTACACTTATGAATACACTCCTTTTTCTTTTGAAGTACAAAGTAGACTGAAAGAGATGGATTTAGAGCCTAAGAAATGCGAGAATGGATCATATAATGGTATGAGATGGCCACAGAACACGACTGCATTGTGTGTAACATTAAAATTTAACCAGCGTTGAGAACAGCCTACTTTAAAATTATGGAATCATGGATCATGTGATTCAAGGTATCTTGTCCCAAAATGGACATCGGGTGTATAAGGTTAGACTTGTGATAGAAAATTTAAGTACATGTCATTTTCATGGGGCTTTTTTCCTTCAGAATTCTCTGCAAAATTGTTAAAGTTACTCCACATTTAGTATGTTCTTAAGTTTTATTTCTCTGTGACTTCATGAGAAGTGATGAGATGGAATATATCACTGAAATCCTGCCATATTCATTGCCAACTGAAAATTCATCTGGACAACTACTGAGGTTTTATTTCCAGGCAAAGGCTTTCCCACGATCATCGTATTGCTACTACGTATGATCTCACTGGTGATTTGGGTTTTATTTTTCCTTGATGGAGGCACTGGGGATTGAACCCAGGACCTTGTGCATGCCAAGCACGTGCTCTGCCTCTGAGTTCTACCCACCACCCCCTCACTGATGACCTATTATGATCACTGATGAGACAGGGTCTTTTATTCCCACAGAAGGCTTTCCTAGTCTCTCCATTCATAAGATTTATCTTAGCGTAGACCTTTCAGACAAACAATTACCTAGAAATGTTTTCTCAAGCCTTTTCTGCATTAGAGATTTTTCCTGCATGTTAACTCTGACATACAATGTGAGGTAGTATCACTGAAGGCACTAGCACGTTCTCTGCATTCATTAGATTTCACTCCTATGCAAATTCCATAGTCTCCTAAGCGTGAGATCTAGCAACAGACGAATCTACACTGACTGCATTCAAGGACTCTAGGAACACACTGATGTTTAATGAGTTCAGTGAACTATCATGGTCTGTACCCTGAATGAGTTCGCTTGTCTCTAATGAGTGCAGATTCTCTGCAAAGGATTATGTACCTTGACCTATATGTTCCTGGTGTGTATGAACAAGGCTCGACAAACGAGAGAAAGGTTATACCCAATCGCTGAATCCACAGAGTCTCTCTTTTATCAGTTATTCAATGTACAGTGGGTGCTGAATTCGTGCTGAAGGCTTTCTCACATTAATTGCATACAAACGGTTTGTCTCCTGTGTATATTTTCTGGTGGGTGATGAAACCAAGATTTTATGAATAGGATCTCCCACACTCAGTACATATAAAGGAAGTCTACCCTGTGTGAAATCTCTGATGTTAGACAAGGCATATTTCCTTCCCATAGGTGTGGCCATATTCATTGCTTTGTTAAGGTTTGTTTCCACTATGAGTTCTCTGATGTACAATAAGATTCCTCTTTGAGGAGAAACCTTTTCCACATTCACTGCATACAAAAGGTTTCTCTCCCGTATGGGTTCGCTGATGAACAACAAGACGGCTTTTCACAGTGAAGCCTTTCCCACATTCATCGCATGCATAAGGTTTCTCTCCAGTATGAACTTGCTGGTGTAAAAGGAGTTCCATTTCCAAGACAAAACCTTTCCCACATTCACTGCATATAAAGGACTTCTCTCCCGTATGAATCTGCTGATGTACAACGAGATAGCGTTTCATGGAGAAACCTTTTCCGCATTCACTGCACATAAAGGGCTTCTCTCCGGTGTGAGTTCGCTGATGTACCACAAGATTGCTCTTAAAGGCAAAACCTTTGCCACATTTATTGCATATGTAGGGTTTCTCCCCCGTGTGAGTTCGCTGATGTAGCATCAGTCCGCTGTTCACGATGAAACCTTTCCCACATTCGCCGCATCTGTAAGGCTTCTCCCCAGTGTGCGTTCGCTGGTGCACGACCAGGCGACTCTTCAAGGGGAAGCCCTTCCCACACTCACTGCAGATGTAGGGTTTCTCTCCTGTGTGAGTTCGCTGATGTATGACAAGCATGCTCTTCACGGTGAAGCCTTTTCCACATTCACTACACACGTAGGATTTCTCTACTGTGTGATTTCTCTGATGTACAATGAGATTGCTCTTCCTGGGAAAGCCTTTTCCACACTCACCGCACACATAGGGTTTCTCTCCCGTGTGAGTTCGCTGATGTTCAGTCAGACGACTCTTCATGGTGAAACCTTTCCCACATTCATTGCACGTGTACGGCTTCTCTCCTGTGTGATTCCGCTGGTGTATGATGACATAGTGCTTCGTGGTGAAGCCTTTCCCACACTCACTGCAGGTGAAGGGCTTCTCTCCCGTGTGAGTTCGCTGGTGTATGGTAAGCATGCTCTTCCCAGTGAAGCCTTTTCCGCATTCACTACACACGTAGCATTTCTCTCCAGTGTGGTTTCGCTGATGTACTATGAGATTACGCTTCCCTGGGAATCCTTTTCCACATTCACTGCATACGAAGGGCTTCTCTCCAGTGTGAGTTCTCTGGTGTTCGATCAGACGGCTCTTCATGGTGAAGACTTTTCCACACTCACCGCATATAAAGGATTTCTCCCTCTTGTGAATTCTCTGATGTTCATTGAGCCTGGACTTTCTGGAGAATACTTTTGCACACAGACTGCATCCATAAGGTTTCTCTCCTGTATGAACTCTCTGATGATCAGTGAGCTGAGACTTCTTAACGAAGGCTTTCCCACATTCACTGCATACGTGGGCTTTCTCTGCGCTGGGAGTTCCTGGGTGCTTGATGACTTGAGGCCTACTGCTGACGGCTTTTGCACTCACAGGGAATTTAACTGCACAATGAAATTCTTCATGCTTACCATTCAGAAATGATTTCCCATCTCCATTACATTTGGTAGAGTTCTTAATTTCATAGCTTTTGCTCTGGTTGACTGAACTTAAATTTGGCTTCAAAGTTTTTATATCAAACACAAACATATCCTGATTTTGCCTGAAAGGGAAATGACTTTTGCTTCGAGGAACAGGATTTCCAAAAGCATTATGTTCCTGGTATTGTTCTATATCCTTCAGCATTCTTTGATTTTCCCAGTGACCCTGCAGGTGATTATGAACATTGCCAATTTCTAGGAAAGAAGAGAACAATGAATCCTTTCATGATCTTGTTTGGAATAAAACTGTTTTAAAAAATTCCTTGGTGTTAAAAAAAATGACACATTAGTGACAACCCTATGATAACAGTATAAAATGTCATGGATAAGTGACACATTATTTCTTACACATTGGTAAAAACAAACCAAAAAGGAAAAAAGTAGTTAGGGTACCATAAGGTTAGGCAGTTGACAATCTATGTAGATTTGGCTGCTTTCAAAATTGAAAATTGCAAAACATGCAGAGACAGTAAAATACAAGCAAGTCACTAGCAGCAGCAAACGACAGGGTGTGGAGGAGTGTCATTACCCAGAACCTGGAAAGAGACAAGACCACAGAGTGGAGGAGACAACTGATCCAAAATGAGGAAGGTCACATCTGTTCACTCCAACATGATGTACTGAGTGGTTCCCGTGTACCAGGCACTGTGTTGTTGTTGGGATGTATAAATATGCCTTATATTCAATTCTCATAAATTCCTGTTAGGGAAACCCAAATAAAGAAGGAGGAAAGAAAAAAAGTAGGGAGTTCGGGATTGTTAAATGTGGTTTGAAGGAGCAATGGAGATGGTGGAAGGTGGAGGAAATTAGGATACACTTGCATAAAGAAGAGGCAAGGTTCACTGATGGGTTAAGAGGGGAGCGTGGTCACTGAAGGTGAGGAAGCCAGGAGTACTCTGCCAACTGTATGGTCTTAGCCAATGGGTTGGTAAAGCATCTCCAACTGAGATGAAGAAGATGACTGAAGTCCACATGCAGGAAAAAAAATATGCATTGTGGAACCTAAACTGACTTGGCATTAAAGGCACAGTACAGAAATCAAGAATCAGGTTGGAGGTATAAGTGGAGATAACAACGTGGAAATAATCAATATGTGCATATTATTCAAGAAAGGACAGAATATGTTGGGAGGACATGTAGAATGAGAGATGCTGAAGGTACAGGACCAAGGTTTTAGATATTCCAACACTTAGCATTTTTGGATTCTTTAAGCCCACTTAAGAGGATCCAAATTCTGACTAGACAGATCAAGGAAATATGCACACGGGAGTAGGTAAAATAAATATGTTTGTTGCCTGGCCAGTAAGAATGTATGGTCCTCAAAAATGTAAACTGAGACTCTTGCATTGTAATTCTGTTCCTGTATTTGCTTCTGCAGACCCCCATCAAACTAATGTTCCCAAAACATCAATCATATCCATGGACAACTCATAAATCAACAGTCGAACCTTTAGTCCAGCTGTGTCATGTTATCCTATGCGCCATTAGTGGTGAAACAGGACAGCAGTGATTGGCAGGAAATTCTGCATCTGGCCAGTGTGCCGTGCAGTCTCCTTCAGAAGCTCAGGTGCTACTGCGTGGGATATGGAGAACTGTCCCCTTTTCCAATCGCGTTCTGCACTCAGGAGCGAAGTCACATCCCAATTCTCCCCACTTTAGCGATTCTAATATACTCTCCCCTCGCTTACCACCAGCAGCGTCTACTTCAGCAACTCTACGTTTGTGTCTAGGTTGGCAACAGTTAAGTTGTACTAAAGGACCAAGTTCCTCCTTGAAGACCAAGGTTGTGTCAGCGTTACCTTCAGTTTTTCTTAGAACATCCGGCTGTTCCCTATTATTGCTGTAATACTGCCACCCAGGTGAAAGGGAAAACAGCCACAAAAGCACAAAACCAACCAACTCGCCACCGTGCTGCCTCAGTCACTCACACAGGAAACCCAAACAGCTGCCCTGGCTAGAACAGTGCAGGAATATTGCATGGACCCGTTTCCACGCCATTACTTCTCATACAGAGACCTTCTGACACTGGCTTTCATTTGCCCGACGTCAGGCACTCTCTTGGTAGTACATTTCCTCCTTCATAACTTCAATCCTAACTCATGGCATCATCTTCCCAATTCAAAATGTAGACACACCTTGTACATACCATGCTGTCATTCCCACCCTGACTGTATTACCATACGCTCTGTTTCCTCTATCTTTCTAAATGAATCCCTTTCTTGTTCACTTTTACCTTCAGGGAAGATTGAACCTCACCCAGAGAAAGGTCTGGCCCTTGCCCTCAGCTACTGGGAGGTCATCTTCCCAGTAGATCTGCCCTGGACTGTCCTGTCTGATAGGAGTGTCTTTGTTTGCCTGGTGGCTTTGGCCATCAGTCTAACAATGTGATTTATGATATGGGCTTTGGGCCACAACATATGAGTTATGAACTATGGAGGAAATGGAAAGTGCAGGCATTAGCCTGACTTCCCACTCCAGAAGTGGGAAATGTGGGAAATATGTGATTGAGCCCATGACAACTCTGGACACCAAAGGCTCAAAGGAGCCTCCCTGGCTGGCAATACTTTGGGTACTATCACACATCACGTCTGGAAGGAAGCACTATGTTAGGGCCCTTCCTGGACTCCACATGACCTAAGAATTCCACTCCTAGGTGGAATACACAGCCAAGAAAAATGGAAACATATGTTTACCAAAAAGTTGTACGTGAATGTTCATAGCAGCATAATTCCTAAGAGCCGAAAAGTGGATACAACCCAAATGTCCATCAGTAGATAAATGAGTAAATAAAATGTGGTATATTAAATAAAGCAACGTATTATAAAGGACCACAACACCATGGGCCTGCAGCATTAAAATAAATATGATACTGGCTACTGCTTTAGATGCAAAGGCTATGATCCTCTCCTTAATATTTTATAAAATAAAAGTAATATAAAAAATAGGGGGGAGGGTATGGCTCAAGGGGTAGAGTGCATGCTTAGCATGCACAAGGTCCTGGGTTCAATCCCCAGTACCTCCTCTAAAAATAAATAAACCTAATTACCTCCTCCCCCCAAAAATAATAATAATTTAAAAAATTTTAAGTAAAGAAAGGAAGCTTTCTCTTCAAGGAAAACAACTGATGATACTTGTTGCAGATGATAAAATTTAAACTTCCAAGTGAAAATTACAATTTGAGAAAAATTCTGATCCACCACTTGTGAATTAATTAATTCAGCTTCCCCAATATATTTTTTAAATAATAATATAAAATATACCCTGGAATACTACTCATTCATAAAAGATAATAAAATAATGACATTTGCAGCAACATGGATGGAACTGGAGGTTGTCATACTAAGTGAAGTAAGCCAGAAAGAAAAAGACAAATACCGTATAACATCACTTATACGTGGAATCTTAAAAAATGAGACAAATGAACTTATTTACAAAAGAGAAACAGACTCACAGACACAGAAAAGAAACTTGTGGTTACCAGGAGGGAAAGTCAGGGGGTGGAGGAATAAATAAGAAGTTTGGGATTTGCAGATACTAACTACTATACATAAAATAGGTAAACAGCAAGATCCCACTGTATAGCACGGGAACTATATTTAATAACTTGTAATAGCCTATTATGAGAAATAATATGAAAAGGAATACATATATGTGTAACTGAAACACTATGCTGTACACCAGAAACTAACACAACATTGTAAACCAACTATACTTCAATTAAAAAAGAAAATATATATATACAATACATAGCTAGAAGGAAATGTAAAATCAAAGTTTGTGTCATAAATATGTCAGCAGTTTTCAAACTTGCCTGTAACATTTTCTTGGAAACCAATGTGCACAAATGATAACTATGGGTGAACTGGATAAAACAGGAATATGTACTGTGTTCCCTTTATGAGTCAAAAAATGATTTAATAAATCACTGTTTTGTAAAAAATTAAATGTGGTCTATCCATACGATGTAATATTAATTGGCAATAAAAAGAAGGAAGTACTGATAAAAATCTTTTATGGAAGGATTTCAAAAACATGATAAATAAAAGAAGCCAGATATAATAGACCACATTTCGTGATTCTTTTTATAGGAAATATCCAGAACAGGCAAATCAGTACAGATAGAAAGCAGACTGGTGCTTGCCTAAGGCTGGGGGCTTGGGAGGAAACTTTTTTAAAGAGAGAAAAATCTTCCAAAATTGCTGGTGGTGGTGGTTATATAACTGTTAACATACTACTTAACACTGAAGTGTATGCTTTAAGTTGGCAAATTGTAACATGTGAAATTATCTCAATAAAGCTGTTTTTAAAAACCTCACAAGAATATAATAGGAAAACCAAATGATTTAGGGAAATGAACACAATCCTGACACCTAAGATGAACCAAAGGACAACGAGAAACATCAAGTGTAGGAAGGAAGTAAAGTGAAGCTCACATAAGCTGTGATTTAGGCTGGAAGTGATGGAGATGTAAAACAGCCTTTTCTGATGAGACAGTGAAAAGGAACAGCAGGGACCTTTGGAGTCTCATCCAGCGAACAGAAAGAGCTTAATTCATGAGACTGAAGGAGGATTTTAAGGACTGGGAGTACAGCAGAGAAAATGGAGAACAAAACCACTGAGGAACCTCGGGACGGGCGGGAGGGGTAGGAAACCAAGGAGCGGGGCTGACGCACAGCGAGGGACTGGGCTCCTGGGAGGGCGCCGCGCAGGCGGGGCTGGCCATGGGGAGGGAAAGCAGTATTTCTCAACAGGGCAGCGAAGTGCCACGGTCAGAAAACAGCCAGGAAGTCACAGATCTGCTTCTGGAGCGAGGCCTGGGAGGTGGGATTTCACGGCGAGGGAGGCGGAAGGGATTTGCGACAGGCACCAAGAAGCAGTGGGTCACAGAACTTTGAAGGAAGAAGCGGCCTAGGCAAGCAAAAATCAGGATGTAGAATAAGGTCAGCAAGGATCGGACGTCAGAAGAGATAAAAGGGGTATGTTCCCCTCTAAAGACGCTCCCGGCACCCTCGGGCGCCCTGCCCGCCCCCCGCCGCCCACCAGGCCCGACTCCGCGGTCACTCGCCGGCGGTCCTCCCTCACCCGGACACGGACCACTGCCGGTTCCCTCTTCTCTGGCCCACGGGTCTTCCCCTCGTTCCAACTCGGCCAGCGCGTCGGGTCTGCGGACTTGACACCCTGTTCATGGGAAACGATACAAGACTCAGGCCCACCGAACGGGGCTGGGGTCTGTCACGACAGGAGGATGGTCCTTCAAGGGACCAGACGGATTTCACGTCTGCAAAGTGGAGGCTTTTCACTCAGGGCACACATGAGAGGTTGCGATATAATCATGTATATTTGGTCTCTGCCCCCCCCCCTTTCCTGGCAGAGATTCGAAGGCCCTTGGAATTTCCCGTGTCACAGGCACACCAGGAACACCTTTTGCTCCAGTATTTGGTTAAGCTCTACTTCCGGATGCCAGAACTTCTAACACCCTGGGCTCTCCAGAGTGGTAAGGAGATGCCTGGTGGCTGGGGGGCCTAGGTAGCTCCGGGGTAGAGGCAGGGGGCCAGAAAGACCAAGGCAGGAGTGGAAGGGTTGAAACTTCAGCTCTCACCCCCGCCCCCCTCCATGGGGAGGGACAGGGCTTGAGCCTGAGCTAATCACCAATGGCCAATGATTTAAGCAGTCATGCCTACACCATGAAATCAACGTAAAGACCCCCAAACAACCAGGTCAGGAGAGCTTCCAGGGTGGTGAACACGTCATGGTGACACACTTGGGGCGGGCATGGAAGGCCCACACTCCTTCCCCCAAACCTTGCCCCATGTACCTCTGCCCTGTGGCTGTGCCTGACTTTTATCCTTTAGAATAAACTGGCAATGGTGAGTAAGGCGCTGCCCTGAGTTCTAGGGGCCATTCTAGCAAATTATCAAGCCTGATTTATAGTCAGGTCGGACAGAAGTGCGGGGATCAGGGCACCCCACACTTTTGTCTGGCATCTGAAGGGAGAGCAGTCCCGGGGCACTGAGCCTGTAAGCCTGTGAGGTCTGATGCAGACTTTGGGGGGCTAGTGTCAGGACAGGATTGAATTGGAGACCCTGTCGGTACCTGGGGAGTAGAACTGGTTATTGGTACAGGAAAACTCCACATGTCTGGTGGTAAAAACAGTTCACAGCACATTATATATACCCTTTGATCAGAGCCAGAGGAGGCACTAAACAATCTGCCATTCAGGTCACTGGTGTGACTTCGAGTGTAAGCAGTTGAAAAAGGAAAGACCACTGACTGGAGCCCCTCTGAGTGACCCAGGGGAGCAGTCCTCACCCACGGACAGCAGGTGGCTGTAGTTCTCCAGCATCACGTCCCGGTACAGGGCCTTCTGGGCAGGCGCCAGGAGCTGCCACTCTTCCCACGTGAAGTCCACGGCCACATCCTTGAATGACAGGGTTTCCTGTAATAACGGAGTCCTGTTTAATTTGAGTGTTTCTCTTTTACTGATTCATAAGGAATATAAACGAAGGTGTCCTGCTCACATCAAGTATGATTTTGACACCAATTCTCATGTGTCAGTTTTTTTAAACACACCACCAAGCAATTCTGTGACACCAGCTGTGTGTCCTGCAGCTCAGTTCTGACAGCATCAGATCCACAGGTTAAGGGCTCAGTCCTATGAGACTTGTCCCCACGCCACTTCAGACACCAACTGCAAATCCCGGTTGTCAGCTGTGCTCCTGACTAACCAGCTATTGACTGGAGGTTCCAATGACCCCCGCCTTGGGTTCGATTAATTTGCCAGAGCAGCCCAGAGAGCTCAGGAAGACAGTTCACATACTGTTTACCAGTTTATTATAAAAGGATATGAGAAAGGATACAGATTTCATCCAGACGCAAGGGGTGCCCAGGGCAAGGTACACGGACAGAGGCTCGGAGCTCCCGTGCCCTCTCCTGGTGCTCACCCACCCGGAAGCTCTCTAAACCCCACCCCTTTGGAACTTTTATGGAGGCTTCATCTCATAGGCATGACTGATCATCAACTCTATTTCCAGCCCCTCCCCACCCCGGAGAATGGGGTGTGGAAGGCTCCAAGCTTCTGATCAAGGCTCGGTCTTGCTGGTGACCAGTTCCCAACCCAGAGCCCACCAAGCATTGCCTCATGAGAACAAGACAGTCTGACCACCCAGGAAATTCCAAGGAATTTAGGAAGTCTGTGTCAGGAATCGGGGTCAAAGACCAGATATTAGAACAAAAGAAGCTCCTGGTACTCTTATCACTTAGGAATTATAAGGATTTTAGGAGCTCTGTGCCAGGAACTGAGGTCAAAGACCAGAAGATTCTCATAGCACTCCTATTTATTAGGGTTTTAAGAGCCCTATGTCAGGAACTAGGAGCAGAGACCAGTGTATACATTTCTTATTATTTCACAAAAGGCTAACATCATATTAGATACACTGAAGAGGTAATGAGTGAAATGGAATATGCATTTTAAAAAATAACTGATAAATGAAGCAGACACAAAAAGAGAAAATATAAAGGAGGGTTTAATACAGACGATGGAGGGGGTGCATAGCTCAGCGGTAGAGTGTGTGCTTAGCATGCATGAGGTCCTCCTGAATTCAACCGCCAGCACTTCCCTTAAAATATATATAAACCTAATTACCTCCCTTACCAAAGGGAAAAAAAGGTGAACAAAAAAAAAGAATCTCAGAAAAATAAACAGAGGAAAGAGTGAAGTCTAATATATGCCTCTACATAGTTTTGTAAAGAGATAAGAGATTATAGAGAAAGAGAAAAGCAATGTGAGGATCTCAGGAATCAGAAAATTCCAGAACTGATTAAACATCCTGGAACTCAGACTTAGCCAGCCAGCAAAGCCACACAGGAAATCTGTACCTAGACGCGCCAGGCTGGAACTGCAGAGCACCACTAGCCGAGTCAGATCATGAGAAGAACGAACAGACTCATTGCTATCAACAGAAAGACAACATTTACTGAAATAAAAACAACAGAAACCAGAAAAACATTGTGATGACACTTGATCTTTGCCTCTGGTTGCTGGTACACAGATCCTAAACCCCTTGGAATGTCCTGAGTGATAAGAGTGTGTTCAGTGTGCTACTGAGATGACTGGTGACTGGGGGCCTGTAGAGAGATTCCGGATGGGGTCTGGTCGCCAGAAAGACCCCCAACCTCCAGGGAGGGAATTGGGACTGGAGGTTGAGTTCAGTCGCCAATAGCCAGTGAGTTAATCACTCGTGCCTGCATCATGAAACCACAATAAAACTCCCTAAACAACAGGTGCAGAGAGCTTCCAGGTTGGAGAACAACACTGAGGTGCTGGCAGGGTGGTGCTACTGGGGAGGACCTCAGCACCCCTTCCCTCAAACCTCGCCCTATGCATCTCTTCCATTTGGCTATTCCCGAGTTGTCGCCTTTGGATAAACCAGCAGAGAAACGAGAAAAAAACTGCACAGAGACTAAACAAAATGCTACTAAAACACCAATGGGTCAACGATGAAATCAAAGAGGAAATTAAAAAAATACTCTGAGACAAATGACAATGAAAATACCACCACGTGAAATCTATGGAATTCAGGAAAAGCAGTCCTAAGAGGGAAGTTCACAGCCACAGAATAAACCAGCACATGTAAACACTCTCCTAAGTTCTGTGAGTCATTCCAGTAAACTGTCAAACCTGAGAAGGGGGTTATGGGAACCCCCGGGTTTAGAGCTGGTCATCAGAAGTGTCAGTAACAACCTGGGACTTCTGACTGGCACCTAAAGTGGGGGCAGTCTCGTGGGACTGAGCGCTCACCTCGTGGGATCTGTCGCTCACTCCACGTATTATTGACACAATTGAGTTGAATTATAGGTCACCCAGTTGGTGCCTGGAGAGTCCTAGAATTGGTGGGTGTGAGGGAAGTATCCACCCACCATTTGGCATCAGAAGTGCTGTGAATAAATCAGTTCAGAAGTGTGGAATATCTTAACGTCCTGATGCTGCCGCCACGCAGCCTTGGCCCGAACGCCACCGGGGCATGAAATGAGACCTGCTTGTCAACTGAAGCACTAGATGAGGGAACATCTGATGGGATAACGTATCCCCGCGTTATGCAGCGATCACTTCCTAGACGAGGGAGCAGACCTGGTAGAGGCAGCAAATTCTTAACACCGCTGATCTTACCACATTCAGAAATTTTTCACATGAGATGTAGATCCACCTAGAGAAATGAAAACTTGGGTTCCTACCTAATTTCACACTCAAAAATAGGGTTTTTTTTTTCCTGTTTTGAGTCCTAGCCGTAAAACAAAAGTCTATGAAAGCAACTGAGATAAATAGGAAGTATATCCATGTCACAAACCAAAACCATAAAAGAAAATAAGTAATAAATTTTCTTTAAAACCTTTTTTTCTGGGATGGGGAATAGCTCAGTGGTAGAGTGCATGCCTAGTATGCATAAGGCCCTGGGTTCAATCCCCAGTAACTCCATTTAAAAAAAAGGTAAATAAATAAATAATTAAAATTTTTTTTTTCTAATGGAGGTACTGGGGAATGAACCAAGGACCTCATGTGTGCTAACCACATGGTCTACCACAGCTATAACCCGCCCCCCAGAAATTTTCTAAGGGGAAAAATTAAAATGTCTGCATTGAAAGAGATATCAAGGACAAAGCTAAAAGAAAAGTGAAAAGCTGGAAAAATATTTCTTATAAGCAAAAAATCAATATATAGTGGATATGAACAACTACTATTAATCAGAAAGGAAAAAATCATTTTGTTAATGTAAAAATGATAAAGACAGGCATTTCATGAGAGAAAAAAATCCAACTTGTCAATAAACATACAAGGAGGATTTCAAGCTCACCTGTGATGAGGTAATTGCAAAACAAGGCAAAAGAATAAACACTGGATCATTCAGATTGACAGAAATTATACAATCTGATAATGTCTATTACTAAGTACTGGCAGAGATTTAAGGCATGGATGGTTTCACCCATCACTTACCCTGTAGCAGGCACTCATCTAAATGCTTTACATAGGTGTGACTCATTTTTGTTCTGATTTTTGGGGGGGGTAATTAGGTTTATTATTTAATGGAAATACTGGGGATTAAACAGGACCTCATGCATGCTAAGCACACACTCTACCACTGAGCTATATCCACCCCCTGACTCATTTTTTCGAGTATGATTGTAGACAAATGGAATTGTATATAGCTAACAGTCATCAAACACTTGCAGTCATTATTCTTTTAAATATTTAAATTATACCATCTTAGACCAACAGGTCGTTCTTTATGGTATAATTCCATAGACACTCAAAATGTCATAACAGATTTGTTTATGTCCACAGATATGTACAGGAACCGCCATCCATTTATAAATAGACACAGATATACAGGTGCACACACAGGTTCAGTGACAGTGACACATTATGTTCCAACATCGGTCATTTACCAGGAATCCTATGAATGCTATATTCTTTTTTTAATATATATTCAATTTCAATGGTTTCAATTTATAGTCAATGGTTATTTATTTTCCCATAATCATAAAAATTCTCTAAATCTTTTTTAATAATCTGAGAAATAAACTAAGCCATAATTGAAATGAACTTTACAGTAAGAATAACAATAGCTATTATTTATTAAGCCTTTATGATTTGCCAAGCTGAACTCTGTATTCTTTTCTTTTAAGAACAGAGGCGGTGGGGACCCCGGACCTCGTGCATGCTAAGCACGCATTCTGCCACTAAGCTATACCCTCCCCGTGAACTCTGTATTCTTGATCCTACTTTGCCATGAAGCTAGGTTAGATTCAGAGATTGTTTCTCTCTAGATATTGAACTGATTTTTTACAGCCCTCTATAAATCCATTAGGGAATAAGGGAGACAGCAAAACAAGACAAGAGTCACCTGGGCTTGAAGCATTTTCCTCTCTTCTCTTTGTCTCTTCCAGATATATCCTAAATTTCTAGTTAGACGTCACAGCCACCAGTCAAAGTGACCCCAGAAATAACAATATCTAGGTCCTGGAACCTCCTCTTCCTTCATTCAGTTCTTGTCTCTTGCTAGGACCTGTGGGCTTAAGAACAAAATTACATTTAGGCTTACTTTCCTTGTTGCTGTGGACTCACCTTAACACATGGTCCCTAATATTTCTGTCTCTTTATTTGGTTCCCCAGAGGATTTCACACGCAGGGCCAATGAAACATAAATCTCTGGATATGTGGAAGTAGCATGAATTTGAAAGGGAAACTGGCAAAGGAGAATCAGCCCAATACTATATGAAATATAGTACAGTGGCAGGTCATTTTCAGAACAATTATAGAAATGAGGCCATATGTACAGGGGGGAAATGCAAATTTTCCTTTAAACTTTGTTGCCCTCACACCTCTTTAAAAGTCTTCACATAGGCGGGGAAGGATAAATTAGGAGTTTGAGGTTAACATATACACACTACTATATATAAAATAAACAACAAGGACCTACTGTATAGCACAGGGAACTATATTCAATATCTTGTAATAACCTATAATTGAAAAGAATATATATTTATATATGTATATGTATAACTAAATCACCTTGCTGTACACCTGAAACTAACACAACATTGTAAATCAACTATACTTCAATAAAAATAAATTTGAAAAAATATGATTAATAAATATCAATGACTAGCTGAATGAAAATAAATAAAAGGCTTCATATACCCTGCTTATATACACACTTCAACATGAGGAACAATGAACAATGAACAATGAACATTTGCTCCCCCTCCAAAAAAGGAGAGATAGAAAAGGAATATGAGCTATAAATACAAATTTAAAAAACAATTCAAAAATGTAAACACTGGGGGAAAGCAGCCTTTACATTAAAAACAGAATTCAAATAAAAAGCTTATTAATTTTAAATATGTTGGATCGTTCATCTTCCCCCAAACTTTCATTTCTTCCGTTCAAAAAGTTGTGGTGATGAAGGGAGTCAAAAGGGATTAGAAAATTAGTGGTGGGGCAGGGACGTGGACTTGAAGCTCTTGGGGAATGTGAACTAACGTTCAAGTCTGTCCCAACAGCCAAAGTCTGAGCTCAATACACGCACCTACCAGGGCTTCTGAGCCTCCAAGCCTTCTGTTGTCACACATCTCTGCACAAAAGCCAGTGACACCACCCCACCGGACTGATACCAGATCAGATCAAATACACTCGTACACTGACCTGCCTTATCGGTTCCTCAACCTTTGAGCTTCAAATTATCTCAGAACCCGAAGACGTTGCATTCACTGACAAGCACCATCCCACCAGTTGTCAAACACCTACAGGCAGGGTGACACTCAAACACTCTTAAACCCTGATTTCAGGACTCTCGGTGGTTGATCTGTTCAAACCTTTAATCACTGACCACAAGAGCCCCCATGAATGACCCTAAAAACACCTCGATCAGACATCCGGTACAGACACTTCCATGTTCGTCCCCTCAAAAAAAAAAAGAAAAGAAAAGAAAAAAAAAAGCCAACCGCCCCAGCTCTACCTTCACCGACTCAGAGGAGCCACAACCTACCCGAAGGCCGACAGACCGCCCCCACCTTTTCTACAGACAGGCCCACACACTGACCTGATTCTCTCCTGAGCCCGCAGCGACCTCTTCAGGGCCTAACGTACTTCGCTAAACTTCTTCCACTTCTGGTCCCCCTCGCCCAGCCCCCCCTCTCCCGAGACCAACAGACAACGACCGGCTGCGTTTCTAACCGCGTTTCTATGGTGAATGGATTGGGGGCTTCCGGCTTTCCCTTATGAGGTAATTCATCCGCGCCGCCGCCGCCGCCTCGGCGCCCTGGGGGCCGCCATCTTGGCACAGCTGACGTAAAGGAGGCGTGGCGGCCGCTGAGGCGTCGGTGACCGCTGGGCGCGGCGCTGAGAGACCGCTTTTGAATCGCTTACTTCCTGGCACCTCAGCCCTTGAAGGAGAACGGGGAGGCTCGAGCTCACACAAGGCAACCTTGATGCGGGTGTAAATTCATTTGAACGAACAGGGTCCGCTAGTTGTAGCAGTGAAGGGCGCACGTTTCTGTAAGGCTGGAGCCCATCACGAACGAAAGGGCGCGCGTACATCCTGAGTGGCTGTGAGGTCTCAGCTCCGTGGGAGATTAAAATTGCTTCTGGACACTTCAGTCACGGGACTGATGGTGCAAAGGTTTAGAGGTCCCACGGAAACTTCAGCATGCTTGGCAGCAAGACAGGCGGCGCGCGGTCCTTTTAGGGTTGGCGCCTTAGGGCAGGAGCACCGTGGGCGCGGCCGTCTTGGAGGCAGTTCGGTGTCCGTTTGGCCCAGCGGATGCTTTCCCGGGAGCTCCGCGTGGAACCGGCAGGTGGACGCGTTTGAGGAAGACAAAGGTTGGGGAATGCGGGTAGTGCCAGGGGATGCCGCGATCACAAAGTGAGCAGAAGCTAGTGGACGTTGTGAGCCGCTTCCCAACTGTCCTCCTTAACCCCGCCCCAGTACAAAACATGCTACATCCTAGGCAGCACTGAGCTGCCTTCTGTCACCATAAATTAGTCTGAGTTCTTTTTTCTTTTTCTGCCATATTCTTTCTGTACGACTGCTGTTTTATTGTTGCCTTTTCTGTTACACGGGATGTAAACATCAGGCGGTGAAAGGTATAATACATTCTACGACTGGGCACCACTTTCTGTAACTGAACAGGCAAATTACATCGAGCATCAGCATCTGGCAGTATTTTTCGGGGAAAAAGTGACTAAAATGGGTTTAAATTGATAATTAGTCCGCATTCTTGTCATAAAATTAAGTTGTGTATGTGCTGGCTTCTTTCACGTAGTATAATTGTTTTGAAATTCATCATTGTAAAGCATCAACAGTTCATTCCTTTTCGTTCCTTCATATTCCATGGATGTTCGAAGATGTATTCAATCATTTACCAGTTGGTGGAGCTTTGGGTTGTTTCCAGTTTTTTCGATACTGCAAATGGAACTTCAGTGAACATTAATGTGCAAAAACTACAGTGACCTCAAAGAACTGGTTTTCCTGGTCCTATGCCTCTTCATCACGTCAGCAAGAAGTCTTTGCTAGCCATTTATACGCCTACTACCCGTTTCTAGCCCTGCTACAGCTTATTATCTCTTCCACCCTTCACCCTAGCTCTGAGCTAGAACGTTCACTCACCCTGAGGAAACACAGGATCTTGAGAACACAGGCACCTCAGAATGGTGACTGAGGTAGGCAGATAAAACAGGGGCATCTTTTGAAAAAAGTATTTGTATCCTGCGTTACTTACACACTGTTAATAGGAGTCCTCCTCTCTCCCCTTCAGATAAACAATACTCTCCTTGAGGAAAATTTTGTTTTAGGGTTTTTTTTCTAACTCTACCTCATTCTAAATACAAACATCTCAATCCACTTACTCCATGTCCATTTCTCCTAATGCAGAATTTACATACTCTGAGTACATGGGTTGAGATATAAAATGTGACATAGTTGATCAAAAAGCACTACCACATTTGCTGTGTTTATAAGGTTTTTCCCCCATGTGTGAATTCTCTGCTATCTCTTGAGGGTGCACATCTAGCAAAAGGCTGTTTTTTCTTTAATTTTAATTTTTTAAAATTCTTTTCCCTTAAAGGAGGCACTGGGAGTTGAACCGAGGCCCTCATGCATACCAAGCACGATTCTACCACTGAGCTATACCCCTTACCCCCTGCAAAGGGCTGTTCCAAAAGGACTCCGTTCCTATCTGCTAGGACCCTACTGATACTTCATGATGTCTGAGATGTTACGGAAGGCATTTGCACAATCACCAAATCAACAAGATCATTTTCTTGGGTGTTTACAGGGTTTCGCTTGAATGTTAAGAGCCAGGACTCTGTGGAAGGATTTCCCACCTTGCTGTATCTACACATTTCTCTCTTGTGTTTATTTTAATGAGGCAAAACTTTGCTTTGTGATGAAGCCTTTCCCATGTTCACTACTTTCATGAGGTTTCTCTCCTCAGTGAATTCTGTGATATTTATTCTGAGAACAGGATTTTCCAGTCACTACATAGAAAAGGAGTCTTGGGGGAGCATAGAGCTCAGTGGTAGAGTGCGTGCTTAGCATGCACGAGGCTCTGGGTTCAGTCCCTGGTACCTCCATTAAAAAATAAATATATAAGTAAATATAAATAAATAAACCTAATTAGCACCCCCTTTAAAAAAAGAATCCAAAAGGAGTCTTGCCTGTATGAACTCCCTGATGTGCCATGCGCCCTGTCTTCTGGGTGAAGCCCTGTCCACATTCTCTGCAGACAAGAGGTTTCTCTCCAGTATGAGTTCACCAATGTACCGTGAAACTGACCTGCTGGGTGAAGCCATTTCCACAGTCATTACATATAGATGGGTTCTCTCCAGAATGAGTTTTCCGATGTAAAATGAGAGTGATTCAATGAGAAAGGCTTTGCCACCTTCAGCATATATTACATAAGGTCGCTCTGCTGTTGAATTTTCTGGTGTTCAGTGAGCCTGGACTTTGTGCTGTGTGCTTTCCCACACATACTGCATCCATGGGGTTTCTCTCCCAGGTGAATTCTCTGACGTTTAGTGAGCTGAGACTTGCTGATGACAGATTCCCCACGTCGATGGCATACGTGGGATTTCTCAACTTTGTGAGCTCTCTGATGCTTAACAACTTGAGCCTTAGTGCTGATGAGTTTCCGACTTCGGGCAGTTTTAGTGGCGTCTGCTCATGCTTTGTCAGGGGAAAGGATTTCCCGTCTCCATTACATTCAGCAGGGTTCTTTATTTCATAGCTTCTATTCTGATTGACTAACCTTAAATTGGATTGCAGCGTTTGTCCAGGATTGTATCTTAAAGGAAAACAGTGTTGGTCAGGATGAACAAAACGTTCACCGCATTTTTCCATTCTCTTTAACCATCTTTGGTTATGCAACGGTCCTGGCAGACGATCATCAACTTCCTGATGTCCAGGGAAGAGGGGAATAGGGAATGCTTAGGGGCCGATTGGCTCTTTAGTGCTGACTGGATGATCTCAGTATGAAAGAATCTTATAATAAGACTCCTTATTTCTGATACATTGGTTAAAAATACAGTGCACAAAAATCAAGTGGCTAAAAAGTTTCCTCTAAATGTTCACAGTATCCCATCATTGCTAATCACTTTGCCATGTGGCTGTACACAAGCTATAGTTCTAGCAACACCACCTTGTGTTCTCTGGCGGAGGGTGCAGCTCAGTGGTAAAGCGCGTGCTTAGCAGGCACAACGTCCTGGGTTCAACTGCCAGTACCTCCGCTGGGGGCAAAATTTCTTTTACTTTAAAAATTAAATAAATGAATAAACCCAATTACCACCCCCACCTCCCTCAAAAACAACCTTGGGTTCAAACCATGTGTTGCACAGATTTGTCATATACTCACCACAGAAATCTTTGCTACTGGCTATTTCTTTGCTTCTCATGAAATTCAGTGTTGGAGCTGAGTCACCAAGTGTGCTACCAGCACAGCATCCTCGAGAGAACTTTAAATATCAATACGCCCAGACTGGTGCACAAAACTGAATCAAGCCAGACTCTCTGCGGGAGGCCTTGCTTCATGTATTACGCACACACTCTCCAACAAAAACCTTGCATTGAAAATATGTTTGATAAATAGATGGACAGTGTTTGCAAGGCTGGGTCTCAATGACCTGGACACAGAGCAGAATGAGAATTCAGAGAAGGGAGATACTAGGGTATTCTGGAGTGGTCAAAAACTATTTCATAAAAATAGAATTAAAAATAATATATATATATATATATATATATATACACACACACACACATATATAGACACAGTGTATGATATGAATGGGAAGAAAATATTAAATCACAAATCTCTTAGTTATTTTGCTTGATCAGCAACTCCAGATGTTAATGGCTCCATCTTTTACAATTTATTTTATAAACCCTTCTTCAGCCTAAAGCACTTTCCATACTATGGAATCTCTCCTCTTACCTACAGTGGCCGTTGTCTCATCACTGTCCCCAAGGGACCAGTGCTTTAGCAGAAGACACGTGTGTGTATGTGCACTGACCCTTGAAGCGGGACTCAGGCTTACTTGAAGGACTGAGGGGAAAGTGACGTTCGCTGTCTGTCCAGCAGCCCTGGAATCCTGGGCTTCCAAAGCTCCAGCCCCTCAGTGACAGATACACATGGGCCTCCCCAGGTGCTGACCACATGTCCCTGTCTTAGTCATCAGACCTGGGAAAGACACTGCCCTGTACTCACCTGACAGCTCCGTCGTTGGCACAGTATACATCTCCAAACTTGCATGATGCTCACTGGCAAATACCACTGTTACCTGCTTAGCTGTGTGCCCCCAAATCCACATGTTAAAGTCATAACGTCCAGTGTCTCAAAAAGGGACTGGATTTGGAGATAGGGTCTTCCAAAAGGTAATTAAGTCAAGATGAAGTCATTAGGGTAGGCCTTAATCCAATAGAACTGGGCTGTCCTCAGCAGAAGAGGAAACATGGACACAGAGAGGGAAGACCCTGTGAGGACACAGGGAGAAGGCAGCCGCCTACGGGCCACGGAGACACAGAAGGAACCAACCCTGCTGACGGCTTGGTCTCAGACGTCCAGCCTCCAAAATTGAGGGGAAAAAAATGTCTGTGGTACTTTGTTATGGCAGCCCCAGCAAACTAATCTGCCCACCTCCAACTCCAGTTCTCCATCAGTGAGCCACACGGGAGCGAC